GGGGGGGGGGGGTGGTGTGTGTGTGTGTGAAGGAGAGAGGAATGAATAAGAAAAATCAGAATCTTGACTTCTAATCTCAAAGAAAACACCTCTTTGTTCATGTTTGTTGAAAAAAAAAGTTTTCAAAATAGTTTATTGTTGACTTTCTAGGTCGAACCAGATTACATTAGCAGTTATGCATGCTAAAACTAGCTATGTACAGTTGAACCTTTGTCCCCTTTGTGCACTTGTGGATTATGTCTCCATACAATGAAAATTATGTTGGAGAATAGTCATTTCACAGAAGACTGTAAGGGCAGCCACATTCCACCATCCTCCCATCTAAACAGCATATATATTAGCCTCATGTGGTGTAAAAGAATAGAGTCTTATAGTTTTGAAAATTGTTTGACCTTGAAAGGCTTCTCTTTTGCGCTTGTCCACAGGAACATAAAACTACTACATGCTCTATTTCTGACTTCATTGCCTGTTACTTGGATGAACACTTAACATGTAAATTATAGAAGTCAGCTTTTTTTAACAGATGCCACCTAAAATCTCCAAAGTATGTAGAGTGTCTGCAGTTAGTATTTGCCTTTTCAAAAGGTAAAGGATATGCTTCATAGGAAAATGCTGAAAGTTAAAGATTTTAATCATTATTAACACAGGTTTTAGTAAATGTCTTGAAATATTAGAGTTCAACAAATATAGGAGCTCCAGAGTACAAGCAACTTAGTCTTTTGTATTTTTCTGCTATCACTGCTTGGAAAAGTGGAAAAATATGTCCTACTTTAATCTCTCAGGCAGCATACATATATTTTTTGAGAACTTTGGAATGGGCGGGACGGATGGCGTGTGTGCGCCTTAAAGATGAATAAGGCATTAATCTCACTTTCTGTCTCTAAGGAGACTTGCCACAGAATGACACTTAGGAACTGAATTAAACAGCTGCACAGACAGAGAAGGCAGTGGAAAGACCAGTTTTGAAAGAAATATTCCAAGAAATAAGCAAGTGTTATTCAATTACTTTTGACAATTTCACTGAAATGCTGTTCAACCCATATTTTTCTTCTTGGGTTTGTCACATCACTGAGACATCACCCAGAGAGCAGTGTAGTGAATTTACTTGTGCTGTGAAAGTTCTGAAATCAGCTTGTCAGGCAGATACATTCCTGACCTTTACCATTTTTTCCAGTGATGTTTTTTTTCCATGCACCATACTTCAGTAAATAAAAGCTCCACATATTACAAGAAAGCTCTTTTTATGTACATTCATAACTTGTAATTTAAAATACAGAGAAATAAAAGTATTCCAGCACACCTTTTAGTGTGCATATATATGTTCTGTCTGCCACTAAACACTGAACTGAAATTCTCAGACCACTATTAACAATTACTCCCATATCTTACATCCTATGAATGCAAACATACAATTTACAGCTACTCTTTATGCGTAAGTAATTAGGGTATGTAGGGTTTTTATCTGTTTGGTGCATCACTGTCTTCAATACTGTATTAGTCTCTGCTTAAATTCCTTTTAAAATACTATAGAATGAGGAATG